CTTTAAGTCTTAATTTACATGAATGTTGGGAAATATTTACTCAGATGATCGCTTGGGACGCTTCAAGGGACCTTCCTGTTGTGATGCTGCTGTTTTGCGCTTCCCAGGTTTTTCTTCGTCACGGTTGGGGCTGGTGCGTGCTGTGTATAGATCAAATATGAAATAGATATTAGGTTCCGATATGTTACTGACATAAGATTTTCAATTGAATGAAACTCACAATTCTCTCCCAAATCCTGGGTATTGAATTCCCAATCAGTCATTTCCTCCCCATGCCATTTGCATAATCTATTATAGTATTCAGTTCCATTTAATTTTGCTTCAGCTCTGGTCACTGCGGGAACACAAAAGACAAGAGATTGACAAACTTCATGATGAGACCATACAACCTATACCAAAGAGAAAAGTGAACTTACCACCTGTGCCAAGCACAACGGCCCCCTTTCCTCCGACAGTAACTGGGAATCCACTCTCCACGCTCTCCACTGGCACTCGCAGACGCATGGACTCAAACTTCCGCTCGTCGAGCACCATGATAAAAGCATACATAGCAAAGAAATCTGCAACACAAAATATGAAATCAGAACGGTTTACAGAAAACAACTACAGTGGCAAAAGCCAGATGGGAACTTCTGTTTTCCCTTCGTTTATAAAATTGGAAAAGAAAATTAGGATGGGAACTGACAAAAAGCACACGTGCTTACCGGTATGGCTTGGTTATGGGACAATCAACACCGACTTTAGCGCAGGTGACGGACGTGATCGGTCTGAGGGAAGACGAGACAAGTGTGTCTGTGTTGCACGGTCTACGAATCGTGTGTGCGGCTGTGTCCGAATACTGGTCCGGGCTGTTGACACTGCGGCCGTGGCGAGCCGCGCCAAGCCGCGCCAGCGGGACTCTGGTACACATTCACATTCACGTCCTACCACCAACCACCACGTCAGACACCGAGACGGCCGCGAGCGCGAGTGCCTCGCGAAATGACAGGTCACGGGCCGCGAGGTCACGGTGGTGGGGCTGATCCGCGGACCTGCTCGCGAAGACATTGGCGACTAGGATAGCGCGGGTCGCGGAGTGTTCGAGTTTCCCTCGCCGTTACGGTCGCTCGCGAGTCACGGCCGCGGAACACCCCCACCGAGGGGATGCGTGACCTGTGGCTCACCCAGAAAGTACGCCTATCGGTCGCCGTTACGAACCCGCGACCCTCTGCAAGCTCTCATGGCGCCTGGTGGGTAGGCAACATCTGGTCTGCAGTGCACGCGTGTACTGCGGGATTGCCTACCTCGAGTCGCGCAGGCGTGCAGCTCCCGTAGATTGCCGACATTGCGAACACTGCTGCGGGGGTATCACGGTTCAATGCGTTGCGAGAGTGACTCGCAGTGTTACCCCCCCCCCTCCCCATTTCTCCCTCACAAACCCCTCACATCACATGCGTTGCCTGCAATAGGCCACGGCCACATTGTGGTCATGCTGTACTGGGTTAGGAACGAAGATAGTCAATAGACGGACTGATAGCGAACTTTTCCATCTATGATGACTACCGACGAACCTTGGCGTACTGTAAGCGCACTCGAGTCGCTCTGTTCGCTCACATAGCGACCCGGTGACGAACAAGAGTCGCTCTGTTCGCTCACATAGCGACCCGATGACGAACAAGAGTCGCTCTCGCGCGAACCTCCGGCGAATCTTGGAGATACGTCGCCCAGGAGCCTGGCGAACCTCGGTGACCCGTCAGCGCATCGGATGCGCACCCCGCGCGACCCTCCGCGAATAGAAAGCGAGCAGAAAACACACAGAAAGCGAACAAATCATTTTACGTCGGGCGTCCTCGTCCCCGCGGTGCTCCCGCCCGCCGCCGTCAACTCACACGGAGGGAAATAATTTGGATGGCCTCTCTGCGCGCCGTGCGGTCACCGCCATCGTCGGGTACACGAGCAGACACCCCTTACTCTCACAAGGAGACTTAGGTAAGTGTAAATTCCCGATTCGGTTCAAACTCGGTATATTTGCTTCTTGGCTATGTAGATGACGAACGCCGGTCGAATTTTGTGCTGAAGTTCACATCCCGGGGTACTTTATAGGAGCGTTTTGTGGAAAAAGTTTAGAAATTCGACATAAACTCATGGAAGGCGTTCTCAAATCGAAAAATGGAAGAGGAACTACCCCCCCAAAACCGCACATTCTGA